ACCCCCCTCCAACCTCTCTGGGAAACGCGTATCTGTGTTACAAATGCCCCAGGCACAACGCTTAATCATATTTTTTGATAAAACTACGACGGTAATAGCCTGCCGAGACCAAAAATATGAGACGCCTGTGTTAAAGTCAATGGAGCGCTGTGAAAAAGTGTCGGACCTCTGTGGGAGCTCGTTCTTGGCTGCGCTGTGATTGGTCAATCTACATTTTAGGGTGTGGCTTAGCCAAAGGCGAATTCCCCCACCACCACCAGCGGACCCATCCCCGTCAGAGCCTCGTCTACCAGTCCCTGAGCCATATGCAGGTGAACCCAATTACTGTCGTGCGTTCTTAACCAGATGTGATATGCACTTTTCTCTCCAACCTAGAACCTTTCAGGAGGAGCAGACCAAGGTCGCATTTGTTCTGACGCTTCTGACGGGGAAAGCGGCGCTATGGGGAACGGCGGTGTGGGCTAACCAAGACGACTGCTGTTCCTCGTTCCAGCGGCTCTCCGAAGAGATGCGGCGGGTTTTCGACCGGGCCGCGACGGGGAGAGAAGCTGCCAGGGTGCTGGCCGAACTACGACAAGGAGAACGATCTGTATCAGAATTCTCGATCGAATTTCGCACCCTGGCAGCTGAGAGCCAATGGAACGAGGAGGCGCAGTGGGACATGTTCCTGCATGGGCTGGCTGACCGCGTCCAAAAAGAGATTTACGCCATGGACCTGCCTACCGGACTTAATGATCTGATCGCGCTGGCACTAAGAGTGGACAATCGTCTATCACGAGGCACCAGACGGTTTCAACCGGACCGTCCCTCTGGAGGTGCCGAGGGAATGCGTTCAGGAGGCGGGGGCGCGGTCAGCCCCGTCTACGATCACGAGCCCATGCAGGTGGGTCGAGCCCGGCTTTCCCGGGAGGAGAAGGAGAGGCGGAGATCCCTGGGCCTTTGCCTTTACTGCGGTGGAGCTGGACATTTCGCGTACAATTGTCCGTTAAAAGGCCCAGCCCGACAGTAAGTATGAGGCTACTGTCGGGTGGGATCTCTGCCGAGAAGCCCTCATCTACATCTACCTTCCTCCCGGTAAGACTCCGATGGTCAACTCACCTCCATGACTGTCGGGCACTACTGGACTCAGGGGCAGAAGGTAATTTCATGGATCACTCATTTGCACTCAGATATCAAATTCCCCTCAAACCCCTTTCACACCAAATCAACGTTCACGCCCTCAATGGACAAAGACTCCCCACGATTTCACTGATCACCGAAGACCTCACACTCATCACATCCGGCAATCATTCTGAGACTATTTCCTTTTACATTCTGGACACTCCACTAGCACCCATCGTTCTTGGTCACCCATGGCTCATCCGTCACAATCCCAAAATAGACTGGCAGATCAAATCGGTGGCATCATGGAGCAGTTTTTGTCATAAGTCTTGTCTTGTGTCTGCCTGTCCGTCTGTTCCTGTTCATGTGTTACAGGAGGAGACAGTGGATTTATCAAACGTGCCCACGGAGTATCGGGATCTGAAGGAGGTGTTCAGTAAGTCTCGGGCTGATTCTCTTCCTCCGCATCGTCCCTATGACTGTGCTATAGACTTACTGCCAGGTACGTCTCCGCCTAAGGGCAAGTTATATTCACTCTCTGTCCCAGAGAGAGAGGTCATGGAGAAATACATTTCTGATTCTCTAGCAACGGGATTCATCCGGCCTTCCTCTTCTCCAGCGGGGGCGGGGTTCTTTTTTGTGGGGAAGAAAGATGGATCGTTGCGACCTTGTATTGATTACCGGGGGTTGAACAACATCACGGTAAAGAATACTTATCCTTTGCCGTTGATGTCTTCAGCTTTCGAGAGGTTGCAAGGAGCATCTATCTTCACAAAACTGGATTTAAGGAATGCTTATCATTTGGTCCGCATCAGGGAGGGGGATGAATGGAAGACCGCTTTTAACACCCCTAGGGGGCACTTTGAATATTTGGTTATGCCGTTCGGCCTTTCCAACTCCCCAGCGGTCTTCCAAGCACTTGTCAATGACGTGTTGCGAGACATGATCGACCAGTTCATATATGTCTACCTGGATGACATATTGATTTTTTCTTCGTCTCTCCAGGAACACGTGCAACACGTTCGACAAGTGCTTCAGAGGTTGCTAGAGAATGGGCTTTTTGTCAAGGCGGAGAAATGCGTTTTTCATGCACAGTCTGTTCCTTTTCTAGGTCACATCATCTCGGTTGAGGGAATGCGCATGGATCCTGACAAGGTTAAGGCTGTGGTGAATTGGCCAAGTCCAGATTCCCGTAAGGCCCTACTAAGGTTCCTGGGGTTCGCCAATTTTTACCGGCGTTTTATTCGCAATTTCAGCCGACTAGCCGCACCTCTGACCGCCTTGACCTCCCCCAGAACGACGTTCAGGTGGTCAGACGCAGCAGAAGCTGCGTTTGCTAAACTCAAGGGTTGCTTCGTTTCAGCCCCCATCCTGATAACCCCTGATCCATCACGTCAGTTCGTGGTGGAGGTCGATGCGTCAGAGGTGGGGGTAGGTGCAGTGTTATCCCAGCGCTCTCCTTCAGACGACAAGATGCACCCTTGCGCGTTTTTTTCGCATCGTTTATCCCCTGCCGAAAGCAATTATGACATTGGCAACAGAGAGTTGTTGGCGGTCAAGTTAGCTTTGGAGGAGTGGCGCCACTGGTTAGAAGGGTCAGGGGTACCTTTTATCGTCTGGACCGACCACAAGAATCTGGAATACATTCGTACCGCTAAAAGACTTAATTCCAGGCAGGCTCGGTGGGCTCTTTTTTTCGGACGTTTTGACTTTACTCTCTCGTACCGCCCGGGTTCCAAAAACATCAAACCCGATTCTTTATCGCGCATTTTTGACCGTTCCGATCGCCCGTCTACTCCCGAGTGCATTTTACCAGAGAATCTATTCATCTCTACACTCACATGGGAGGTCGAATCGAAGGTCAAGAAGGCACCAAAATTCATTGGCCCGTTCTCTGTCACTAAAATCATTAGTCCAGTGACAGTCCGTCTCAACCTTCCTCCAGTGTACAGGAGGATTCATCCCGTATTTCATGTTTCCAAAATTAAGCCCGTATTTTTTGCTCGCATTAATCCGCCAGTGTTCCCCCCCCGCCGCGTCTCGTAGACGGGGAACCTACTTATTCGGTCAATCGTGTTCTGGACTCGAGACGGAGGGGACGCGGATTCCAGTACTTGGTGGACTGGGAAGGTTACGGTCCGGAGGAGAGAAGTTGGGTACCGGCTAGAGACATCCTGGATCACTCCCTTATCGATGATTACAATCGGCAGGTAAGGGAGTCTGGGAACGCCAGGAGGCGTTCCTAGGGAAGGGGGTACTGTCACGGTTGGTAAATCCTACGTTTTCTTCTTGTCTCGTGTTTCTGTTGTTATATGTCAGCGCGCTGATTAGATGGGTGTTCCGCTCGTCAGCGTTCATTATCTATCAGCTCATTATCCCCTCACCAGCTGCAGCTTGTCAGATCATGTGTATTTATACTCACCACTTTCTCATCTTCCCTGTCAGATCGTTGTATGTGGTTTCCCCGGTGTGTCTGTGTTCCTGTCGCGTTCCAGTCTCTTGCCTTCCTTGTTCCGGTTCTTGTTCTGTGGATTTTCTGGACATTATCGCTCATTGGACACCTTTCACCGCACCTCTGCTTCACCTTCCATCTGACCATCGGAGTTCCTGCGCCACCTACCTGTTTGCCTGTGTTGGACTCTCACATTGTTACTACCTTTAAATAAAAGAGTTTAACTGCACTTGCTTCCGTCAGTCTGTCGTGACACCCCGCCTCTCTGTTCTGTGTACACCGTTTGTAACACAATAACCATAACGCGTTGTTCATTATAGACGTGGGATTATGAATTATATTGAGAACGTCGTACATAGAAAACATGCCGTAATGTACCCTGAGTGTAAACCTTAGACGCATTCATTGTGAAGCGTGCATCTAGCGATTTACAAAGATTAATATAAATATTAAAGATTAATAAAACATTACACTCACTTCAGTTATTTTGGAGGTTCAGCAGGAACACGAATAGTTGGTACCGGTCCAGGAGCAGCTTCTTAGCAAAACCAGCTTTATACTGACGCTCCTCGTTTATAAGCAGTCTGGTGTGTGAAATGATTCGCGCAAATATGAAAGCATTGACGTTGCTCGTGGGGAATATTCCCTTCGAAAACAAACTCAGCCACTGCGTCTTCAGCGGTTTGGATTTAGGAACATTAAAATTACTGCTGTGTTCGTTATTACACCCAAGAACAGAACACCACAATCGCTTAGACGCCATTCTGCTCATAGACAGCTCCAGCATATCAACAATGACCGCGCCGGTCCGCGCGGACTATGATTGACAGCTGGCTCACGAGCAAGGGCGGGTCTGTGTTGAAACCCGGCTGTCAATCAACAATCGCGGGAGGGGCGTCCGACCGTGTGACGTCACACGGTCGAACGGCTTGATTTGAGGCAGGGGAAAACATATAAGGAGATTAAAACAAAAACACTGGATGGATTTTTATCATTTTATGATGGTTGTGTACAGGCACTGCCAACACACATTTCAGTACAATCAACTTGTAAAAGTGCATGTACCATTATATGACCCCTTTAATGTAATTTATGTAAATGTTAGTCATTTATTCCTGTGATAGCAAAGATTAATTATTATGATCCTTCAGAAATCATTCTAAAATGCTGATTTAGTGATTAAGAAACATTTCTTATCGTTACAATATCAATTAAAAAAATGTTGTGCTGCTTAATATTTTTGTGGAAACCATGATACATCTAGTATAAGAATGCATCCTTGCTGAATACTGACCCCACACTTTTGAATGGTAGTGTATGTGTATTAGGATGTAAGTGACATGAACAAAACTTATAGGCAATTAAATCATTCATCTCAATTATTTTTAGGAAAATTAATCATCATCTGAAATTGCATCATTAAGATAGACCTCATTCCCATTCGTACCTCTGCCTCGTCAAAGGTCAAAAGCAGATCTGAAGTGCCAGAGAGGATGCCCCGCGAGCCATCGATGAGGTAATCACGGGCCGGGACAGAGTACGGGTCTGTCCTCAGCATCTGAGCTGCTTCCACAAGCTTCGCACAGGCATTCTCCACCCTGAGAAACAAGAAACATAATGACTGAGTATATTCATTTGTATTAGTTGGCCTTTTATACAGGCTCCAAAAAAAATCGAATATAAACACATTTTTTTAAATCATACCGCATGAATGCCAGGGTCTAACACATCTCATCAAATGCTAAATAAATGAAATATTAAGTGCAAAAAGAAAAACTATGCATTTGATTCAAATAAGAGGTGGCATTACTAACTGACTTAATTGCAATTAAATTACTGGCCCACTAAATCACAAATCAAGATTATTCAAACACTCTATTCCCAAAACTGAGGGCAGTAAACATTTCCAAAGCTTTCCAGCAAGAAGTGTAAGATCTTCTCCCAGACTGGATAACACTGTGTTAATAGAAATGAAAAGCACATCCCAGTCGCCCCATGGACCACGGGACGGGAGAGCAGGGTGATGACGTGTTCAGGAGGAGGCCTTTCTTCATCATTATTCTGCGGTGGAGACCCAGACGTACGCAGACACCTCCCTGTATGAGGCACCACTCGGGTGTCAGTGCTTACAACAGAGCCTATTTATAGAGAGGTTCACATTTCCTGTCACCAGCCACATGTGTGCTGATTGATGAGCCCTGTGCCAGCTTGTGTTTATGGTGCCAAATGTGTCAGCTAAGGCTTTTACGGTCTTTAACTGAGCCCGTCTGCCCAGTCATTTCAAATAGATACAGATTCATACTGATAGCCCCGCTTTATCATCTGCAAGGCCTGATCAAGTCTGATCACTTTGAAAGGTAAAAACACAACTCCCCTCGATAAGCAGCACAATTTGAGTTATCATTCATGTCTGTAGCACAAATGGTGCGGAAGAAACAAGCTAAAGCCTTGAGCTATGAGCAATGAAAATAGTGATTCTTGTCTTACCAAACACTACTAATAACTATAAGCATTTCCTCTAAATTTAATCTCCAACTAAATTTTGACCTGCTTACTATAATGACATATGACCATATCACAGTTTGTCATTCCGGCTTGCCCGAGTTTGGAGTTTGTCACTCCAGCATCCATGTTGCTGGTGGTGTAATGGTGCGGGGGATATTTTCTTGGCACACTTTGGGCCCCTTAATAACAAATGAGCATCTTTTAGGGGGCTTTTACACTGGGCTCGTTTGCTGCGCTCCGAGCCTGAGCGCGTTTGTTCCCGGCGCCCCCCGCAGCGTTGGTCTGGTTTCACACTCCACTTGATTCTATCGAACCCTGGTGCGTTTGTGTGCATATTACGTCATCGCAAACGTGCACGGCGCATGATAGAAAACAGAACGCGGGTCAATATTGTGTTTTTTATTAATTCGCTGCTATTATGCGCAGTTGAGTGAACAATACAGGTTTACTGTGTGTGTGTCACATAAGGTGTCCTTCTGCTGCTTGCAAACGGACTCTTTTGAGGAGACAATGGTGTGGTGAGCAGGATGGCCGAGGGACGTGAGAGAACGTCGCGAGGCCGGTGGTGCGATTGCTAATGAGCAGCACCTGTCAAGCACACCGGTCTCGCATCTCTCACGGAGGAGCGGAAGCATATAGGGGGAGCGACGGAGTGGATGATCGAGAGAGGAACAGGCCTGCTTTTGTTTGTATTTTGTTACATTTTATTTTGGTAGCCAGCAGTCGTCCGTGAGGGGCTGCTGGCAGGTATTTATATTCTATTTTGGGTAGCCAGCAGTTCCGTGAGAGACTGCTGGCAGGTATTTTGTTTGTTTATTTCATTTAAATAAAGTTTTATTTTGATTGTCCGCCGGTTCCCGCCTCCTCCCTCCTCCCGGGTTTCGGCACCAGTGTAGCAAGGTTCAGGGAAGAAGGAGGCGGGAACCGGCGGACAATCAAAATAAAACTTTATTGTTTACTTTATTGTTACTTTATTGAGGAATGTTTCCAGAAACTTGTTGAATCTATGCAACGAAAAATTAAGGCAGTTATTAAGGTCCAACCCAGTGCCAGCAAGGTGTACCTAATAAAGTGGCCAGTGTGTGTGAGTGTGTGTGTTGTGTGTGTGTGAAGCGAGAATTGGGAGACGAGTAGGTCAAGTACAAAATGACAAACACCTGTGTTGTGGTGTCTAGTTGTAGTAATTGGCGTGGAGAGACCTGATATAAGCCTGGGAAACAGGGAGTTGGTAAGAGAGTGAGGACTCGTGCCAGTGTCCTGCATCATTGATTGTGTATTTGGACTGAGTTTAATGAAGCGCTGTGAGCGTCACTTTTGTTTTGACCATTTGAAAGTGAAGTGGGCTTGTGGGCTTGTCATGAACCACCGGCCTCCCCAAAAGAGCCGTTGCGCCCTCTTCCCTTTAATGCAGGTCCCCTTCGAAAGAATTGGTATGGACCTCATTGGGCCATTAGAATGATTCGAACGTGGGCAATGCTTTGCATTAGTCCTGGTAGATTTAGGGGGCTTTCACACTGGCAGTTTAGTTCGGAACGGGGCACGGTTGGCATGAAAAATCGCTAATGTGAATGCTGTCATGCGGACCCGGGTGCGCACTGAGGTACCGAACCCGAGACTACCTGGAGGAGGTGGTCTGAGTTCGGTTGCTCCCGAACCGTGCCGCGGTTCGCGTGAATGTGAAAGCAACACGGACTCGGGTGCGCACTTGTTCAGGAAGTAAAGTAACCTGCGCATGCGTTTTAGCTTATTGTGATGTATTCAGTTAAATAAAACACTTGTAAGGGATGATAGTGTTGATGATTTACCTTGGATAGCCTGCAGTGTATTCGTGCATTGCGCGTGGAATCAGGGCAACAAATTTGGAAATCCATTGTCTCCTCAAAAGAGTCCGTTTGCAAGCAGCAGAAGGCCACCTTATGTGACACACGCACAGTAAACCTGTATTGTTTACTCAACTGCGCATAATAGCAGCGAATTAATAAAAAACACAATATTGACCCGCGTTCTGTTTTCTATCATGCGCCGTGCACGCTTGCGATGACGTAATATGCACGCAAATGCACCAGGGTTCGATAGAATCAAGTGGAGTGTGAAACCAGACCAACGCTGCGGGGGGCGCCGGGAACAAACGCGCTCGGGCTCGGATTGCAGCAAACGAGCCCAGTGTAAAAGTCACCTAAGCAACGCGATACATAGAGGCAGTGGCGCTCCACAGCATTTCTGCAAAAGAGCAAAATCCTGAAAGAGATTCTCACTGATCAAGGCACGGCGTTTACATGGGGGTAACAGAAGAATCCCACAGCAAATGGGTGAGCCCGATAGTTTTAGTTCCTAAAATTGATGGCTCTGTACGATTCTATGTGGATTATCGCAAGGTGAATGTTGTGTCGAAATTCAACGCATATGACGAATTGCTTGATCGGCTTGGAACAGCTCGATTTTATTCAACACTGGATTTAACTAAAGGATATGGCAGATCCCCTTATCGCCTATATCCAAAGAAAAAAACAGCCTTCACAATGCCGTTTGGATTGCACCAATTTGTTACGCTTCCTTTCGGATTGTTCGGGGCACCGGCCACTTTTCAGCGTCTCATGGACAGGATTCTGCGGCTACATGCTGCATATGCCGCTGCCTATCAAGATGACATTATCATCTATAGTAATGACTGGCAGCGTCATATTGAGCATCTGCGTGCGGCCCTGAGAGTGCAGAGAGTGGCCGGACTGACGGTCAACCTGAAGAAGTGTGCGGTAGGGCGTGTGAAGGTCAGATATCTGGGCTTCCTCTTGGGTCACGGACAGGTGCGTCCCCAAATTAGTAAGATGGCAGCAGTTGCAACCTGCCCAGAACCCAAGACCAAAAAGGAGGTGAGGCAGTTCCTGGGGCTGGTGGGATATTACAGAAGGTTTGTGCCTAATTATTCTGACCTGACCAGCCCGCTGACTGACCTCACTAAAAAGGAAGCACCAGATCCGGTCCAGTTGTTCAAGGTGGTCCACAGGCCCGGGGGCGCAAATGGAAGGGAGAGTGGTTCAGCGAGGTCTGCAGCGGGAGAGAGAGTAGGGAGACGAGCAATGAGTAAGTAGGTCAAGTGCAAAATGACAAACACCTGTGTCTTGTTGCAGTAATTGGCGTGGAGTGACCGGATAGAAGCCTGGGAAACAGGGAGCTAATCAGAGAATGCTCTGCAGAGCTGAATCATTGATTGTGTATTTGGACTGAGTTTATTGAAGCACTGTGAGCGTGACTTTTGTTTTGACCATTTGAAATTGAATAAAGCACGAGCCTCAGTAAAGCCGACCCTGTCCTCTTCCTTCCTTATCCTGAATCACATTACTATATATCATATTTTAGATTTTATAGGATTTTAATATACATAAAAATTATATATGATTACAATTGATATATAACATGTAAAATAATGTATTGATCCAGTTCCCTCATCTTCTCTCATTTTTAGTCTTCTCTCCACTTTCCTTATCAAAGAAAACAAAAACAAAAATCCTAAATTTGCAGTTTTACCCCCTTAAAGAGGTCATCGGATGCAAAATACACTTTTAAATGGTGTTAAATGGTGTCTTTGCAGTGTGTGGACACACAACCACCATTCACCATGGGGCGGCAGTGGCTCAGTGGTTCATGAAGGTTGTCTACAAACCGGAAGGTTGGTGGTTCAATCCCCGGTTCCACCTGACCAAGTGTCGAGGTGTCCATGAGCAAGACACCTAACCCCAGCTGCTCCCGACGAGCTGGATGGCGCCTTGCATGGCCGACACCGCCGTCGGTGTATGAATGAGTGAGTGAATGGGTGAATGTGAGGCAATATGTAACGCGCTTGAAAGCGGTGAAAGCGCGTCTGTGAAAGCGCTATATTTGGGGTTAGCGGCTGGGGTTAGGTGTCTTGCTCATGGACACCTTGACACTTGGTCAGGTGGAACCGGGGAACCGTTTACAACTAGAGTCACTCGGTCGACAATTCGGGGCGAGTGTAGGATTCCTCAGTGTAAAACAGCATTCGGCAGCTCAGTTCTCTAATGTGTGGCCAAAAGACAGTGGAATGAGTTGACCACGTGTAAATTTTAACACTTTTTCACAGCGGGCCAAAAAATGGCTTCTTTTAAAACAAACATGTTCACATAATGTATTGTAATTGATGGGTATGTTAGAGTGTATTTGTAAATGAATGCTGAGGAATTAATGAAGGGTGTGATCCTTTTAATGCTGTTTTCTGGGATGTATTATTAATATGTGTATTTGTTGACATCAGCCTGCCCAGGGACTACAGGTGGAAACCTGGTGAAATTTTTTTTAATCCTCAAAAAGTCTAAACACTCTCAATAATCAGGCCATTTGGATTTTCTGAGCACTATGATGTCATAATGCTCATGCTCCGCCTACGACCACTGACGGACTGTCCCGTGTTAGCATATTTCTGCCCTCAGCCATTCGACGCCCCCCATGAAAGAGAGGGGTGGGGTGAGCAGTTGCTCAATATCATTTAAAGAGACATGCACCAAAACAGGTCACTGTGAACAAAGCTGTTTGAGGAGGTTTGAGGAGGTAAAAAGGGTGTTGTTTTGCACAACCATTGAGGAATTTTAACCAAAGTATATTACAAACTTTACATGAACACCCTAAAGAATCATACCAACTTGTGGAAAATTGGCATCCGATGACCCCTTTAAGGTGTGGGAAGCAAAGGAACAAACACCTCTTTGTGTTCTCTGTGACTTTCTGACTGAGACTGAGAGAGCGAGGAAAAAGATTGTGAAAGACAGACACAAACAGACAGTGCATCAATATTAAATAGATTCAACACTAACTGCTCCATCTACATCAGCTACCAAGACACCACTTCACACACCCGGGGAGACACTAGGGAGAGAAGTCATATAGTTTTTACGTAGACTTATCAATAATGCATTGTAAGCTTGCTGGAAAACGCCCCGAATCTTTAGCAGTGAGGGTATGACTCAGCCCCTGACGGCAAGCAAACGGACCTTATTTAACTTCCACATCACATTGTGGAGCTTTCTTCAGTATCAAGACATCCAAAGACCTCAAGCACTCTGACATTAGGCTTTATAGGAATCTCATATTGTGTAAAATAAGGATAAACAAAAAGCTTCCGATGTTTAGACAATCCTATCTTATGTTTAATCACTTAAAACTTCTTTTGACAAGGCAAAGAAATGCACATGCCTTGTTAATGCTGTTCAATGAGCATGTCTGTGTTCAGTGTGATTAGAGTTTATGTATGTTCACATGATGAGCGCCTGGAGAGAGACAGGAAGTACAGGTCTTACTTAATGAAGGCCGAAGGCATGTCTCTCTTCATAATCTTGTCTTCTGTGGTTTGAACCGTCTCCTTCCCCACCTAAGAACACATGTAAAACAAGCTTGTTTACAAGATGCATAATGATGAGACCATTTACATGCATTTTTATTTTTCTGACACCAGCTGTAACAAAGTTATTCACACAGGGAAAAGCTTTAGCCCTCAGGCACACCAGATTGACAAAGCTTGTGAATGGGGTTGCTCTGAGTATCTGGACACAATAAGGGCCTATGTGTTTTGAATGAGCCCTGAGGCTGATCTGCTGCTCGCTGTCTGGGATGCTGCCAGTACTTCCAACTGTCCAATCTAAAACAACAACAATCCACAACCCATGCTAATCCATCTGCCATTACCACACCCATTTATTGATTATTTCCTGAATGAACACTGAAAATTAAATGATACAAAATAACTAAAACTAAACAAAACTAAAACAAAAACACACAGACACACACACACACACACACACACACACAAAAATAAAAACACAAAACAACAAAAAATACAATAAAATATAAAAAAAAAGGGGGGGGGGGGATACTATGGAAGTTAATGGCTCCTGTCAACCAACATTCTTCATAATATCTTCTTTTTAGTTCAATAGAAGAAAGAAACTCATTTTCATTTTTGTGTGAACTATCCCTTTAAGGCCATTGTTTTTAAACTATTTTCTAATAATTCAATTCATGTCTGTTTCAAAGATTGATTCAAGTCATTGATTTATTTGCATCATGCAAAAATACTTTGATATTTTTGGCTAAACGTCTAACCCTATCAGCCATTAATCTGATAATTTAAAAAAAAAACAGCCCCTAATTCTCTCTTACATCACACAAAACCACTCTTTGATTTTTAAATCATAATCCTGAGGTGACAAGATATCAGACCACACACATGCTCACATCATTGTGGTTTATTCGGCCTTTCACTGGACATAAGGAATGACATTACAGTGTCCTTCTTTAGAGTCCACTAATGCAGAGATAGCAGCGTAACAGAGAGATGTTTGTTATCTCCGCACAGCACATGGCCACTTCCCGCCTGCTCTATTTTTCCAATGATGTAATTACACCAAGGCAATCACATTAATTTGTCTGTCCTCCATCTCTGAAACGTATTTGAAGACGACTTTCAACCTCCCATCAAACTCTAGTCACTATCATAAGTTGAAATTTGTATATGTTTATATGTAATATATATATATATAAAGGAATGACATAATGAGATGAGAAACAGGTCTAACAGATGTAAAGTAGTAAATAATAGAGTGTATTGATAGCCGATGACCTGCTAAGGACCATTGATCGCATCGGAGTTGTGTATGGAGGATGGTGCTTTTGTAGTGCAGCACACTCTTTTACTGGGCCCTAATTGGGTGAAGGGGACCCATAAATAAGTCTGGGTTAACTGGGTTAACTGCTGGGCTTAAGTGGGAACAGCAATCACATTTGCACACGCAGTAGCCAGTCACAAACATCAGTCCTGTGCACGCTAATGCCTTTGTGCATGCCTGTTTGGTAGATGTACTGAATAAGAATGAAGTCTTTCCGGATAAACATGAAGTTCCACCAGTCAAATTGGCATGTGGTCAGAGGGTTGAACTCTTGCACCCATTATTTTCAGTGTATCTGAGGCTTATAGTGTCTATTGGCACGTGATATATTGAAACGCTCTTCTCAGTGGGGCCTCCACCTTACACTTCTCTTGAGATACTGGACCTTCAACAACATTCTCCATGGTTATTCTTAGCTCAGTCCTGGTCTATTAGGCCATCTGAGGGGCAAGGGGCAAGGGGCAAAAAGCAATGGTGGCAAATAAGAGCCCACTGCCACCTTTCTCTGGGCTTTACAAGCAAGCACTGAAGATTCTAAAGCAACAAATAAACAGGGGATAATTGCACAAAATATGTATTTAGATTAGAACAATACTGAATCAAGTATCCTTGCTATTACTACCTGCACCTAAACTTAGATGAGGAAAATAAAGCAGTAAATAAAGTGATGACAATGATTTCAAAGCTCTTACACTTGCATAACTACACTGTCAAACATGTCCAATTTCAGAAAAAGATTGTAACAATTCTACAGTAAAAACCTGTTAATTGATTAACTATAAGCTACCTTATGTTTACAATGAAAAATTACTATTACTTTAAAAAAAAAACACACAATATGATCAAAATTTACTGAGAAAAACATTAATACAACATTTACAGTGGAATTTAATGTTTTTTTGTTACCATTTATGAGCATCAATCCATTTTAAAATCCGATTATAAAGTGTATCCTGCAGTTATGTTGACAGACCATAACTGAACCGCTCAATTAGAATAGGCATAACATTATCGTCCATTAGTGTGGATGCTAAAATAGTTATCGTTGATCTGAACGGGCCTTTCCCCTGATGGTTCTGTTTTTGTGCAGGTGACACTATAAACTGTCTATACTGTCTATTTTTATCAGCTGTGGTTCATGGAAATGGATCATTACATTTTGCAGCGGCATTCTATTTCATCACCTGCAAAAAAACTATTTACCATCAATTGAAATATATTTTTCTTTTACAGCGTAGCGACATGAGTAACAGGGCAGTTAATGAAGCAACCACCCGTTCAATGACACCGGCTCATAAAAAACTGAACGGATATTTGACATCTGACATGATTCTCATTCCTCTAATGGTCATTTGTGTGTGAGGGTTGCACTGGCCACATACAGTGTTTGTGTGTGCTAGAATGTGACGGCACCTACAGTAAGATGCCTTTCCTTCAGACAAAAGAAAATCAGGTGCGACTGCATTCTCTCTCCATGATGGCTGTTTATATAACAAGGCTCCTGCTCTGTCACAGCATTCTGTCATCTGCCGAATGTTTACGCTCGAACTCAGAAGTATCTCTCATTGATTCCCACAAACTCCGCAAAGACTCACGACTCCTTTAAAGGGAAACTTTGCACACACACACTGGTGGAACCATAAAAGGTTCGACTTTATAAAAGGCCCCTCGGCCGCACATTTGTCAGTTTTCGTGGTGTCGAACAAAGCATATGGGTAACAGAAAGACAGACTCAAGAGGCAGAGATACATCGATTGTGTACTTTTGATGCATAATTAATGCAGAGTGAGTCTAGCAGTTGTAGCTTCACTAAAAAGGCTGTTTGATCTCAGGTGCATTAGTGCTGTGATAATGGATTCTGAGAGAGCAGTCCAGGTCAGCAGCTGCTCCGGCTCCTGTCTATCAGCCCACTGTCAGATATTATTAATCAAAATTTAGAGATTTCAGAGAACAAGACTGAAGAGGCCGGACTTAGAGAACTTGTGTATTGTGGACGATCACAAGCCCAGTTTCCCAAAACATAAGGTGCAACCGATATGTCACACGAGTTCCCACTTCCACAAAACTTCAGCCAAGACTTCCACTGAGTCCGTTTCTTTCATTACATTTTTTAAAAAGAAATTATTACTTTTATTCAGCAAGAATGCATTAAATTGATCAGAAATTAGTGACAGAAATCTTTTGTAACATTATTGTTTTACTGTTTCTAATAAATCGATTTTTTTTTTTTTACATTTCTATTTATCAAAGAATCCTGGAAAAAATTAACCAGCAATTGTTTGTAACAAAAAACACATCCTTGGAGAGCGTAAGAGACTTATTTTTAAAAAATCTCACCAACACACACTTTTGAATGGTAGTGCGCGTGTTTAAATGTTTCTACATATGGGCTTTCCAGTGGTCGATACCAATAACGGTCAACCTCAACCGCAACAGATTATCCCTAAAATTATTTTTATTATTTATTACTGTATTAAGTTTTGGGTGAGTTTACAAGATATATATATATATATATATATGATGGCTTTTCCAATAAATTAAATATATTTTGTTTATATGTTTATGTGTAGTATTCCTGAAAAAGGACAGAAATAATGAAAGAAGGAAAGAAAGATTCAGGCTTCTAAAACATTATCTCTTAAAGTAAATACGTAGGTGACTAATCACACACAAATAAAATTAATATAACAAACAACTGATTAATAATAATTTCATGAAATAACAAAAAATCAATGATGAACCCTTTTCATAACGAAATAACATGTATGGAAATTTTAAATAGGAAGAAACATATTTGGTCAACTTGTAGAGGGGGAAAGTTTTCACAGTATATCACATTTATGTATACTTATTTTTCTCCAAGTGCATTGTGTTTTTATTATGAGAAAAGTATAAATAACATTAATTTCAAACAGAATCAAAATAATTAAAAGTATTGTTATTGTATTTTATTTTATGTTTTGTGTCATACCATTAAGTTAGAATCATCCCACCCCGCATATAAAAGAGCTGTGTAGAGTCCCATCTACTTTGTAATTCATTGAAATCAGTCTGGAGCATTATACAGCAAACATTCATGCCACTCAAAATATATTCTCTCTAGTCAAGGCTGAATTTATTTTCTGGAGAAGTCACAATTGAGACTTGCTTTAAAAGGAATATGTCTGTTTAAAGTACTTGAGGGATTATGGGAGCTGAGGGAAGCAGCAAACTGCAAACAAGTTTATGCTTATGTCATCAGTGTGGGTCTTACTATCACATTGTGATAGTTCTGTATGACTGACTGGGATTAACTTCAGTTTAACACACGTTTCAAAGGGCATCACCTCCTCTCTCAGAATAATTTTATCACTAAGGGAGTTTTCCCTGCAAGTGGCGGCTACGGATGAAAACATTCCACTGAAGTCCAAGATTTTTGCTTTGAATTTCTACTGTAGGTCATGTCTTTAATCGCTACATTTTGTCATTGAAAGTGACGTTATAACAAGAGAAGCATTTCATATACAGGTCTATGCTGACTCCTAAGTGAATCTAAGAGCTTAGCCATGGTCCATGGATGACATAAATGGCACATATTGCATATGGACGGTATGCCAATGGCTCTTTTCCAATGCACTATGACAGACTTGGCTGAAAAGACAGACAGACAGACAGACAGACATGGAGACTCTCCTCCAGGCCAGCCAGACCCCTGCTGTCTTCTCCGTTAAGAGTCATAAAAAAGCATTCAGAGAGAAGAGAGATAAATTACCTAAAAAAAATTCTTAAATTAACTCCTATCCAGGTACATATAGTTGGCTGTTCCTTACTGGCTTCATTACAGTCCTACAACACCCAGCAATGACCATTAATCAGTCCAAGTTACAGACTGTATAGTCCTGGATATGGTTCTGTGTCTATTATATATATACTATATATATATATATATATATATATAGAGATAGAGATAGAGATAGAGATAGAGATAGAGATAGAGATAGAGATAGAGATAGAGATAGAGATAGAGATAGAGATAGAGATAGAGATAGAGAGAGAGAGAGAGAGAGTCATTTAGTGGCATTAGCATTAAAATAAACAATTGCATGCTCAATTATTTGTCACAATTAGGGCCATTATACATATTAGTTGACAAGCTAATCTCTTACCACAATCTCAAAGTGACCAAGAGAATGTTGACTATCTAAACATAGAACAGTCTCCAAGATACAGACCAGTCTTTAGAGTGAGAAGAGATATAAAGCCTCTTCACTCAGCCTTGATTTCGAGGCTTGGCTGATGTTTTGGACACTTCAGCAGAAACAGGTGCTACATATGAGAGAGGTGCTGGTGCTCTGGGTGCGTCTCCAGTGAAGACGCTGACACCTTAGACTTCCTCAAGCCAGCAGGGAGTCACTTTCTCTGGGCATGAAACACCCCCTCAAGCCATGCACTGTGAGACTGTGTTACTTCCCAGGCTAGAAGACCTATTTATTCCCGGCACAAAATGCTCACTCCCTATTTGTGACTTACTCACATAGGAGGATTCTTCTCGCATTACTTTACCTAATGACAGCTGGGAGTAAGTTACCAAATAAACAAGAAGAAACAGAGTAATACTGAAAGCACTTCTGCATTCTCAAAAAATCTAAAAAACTCTTGCAGGTCCTGCTTGCGTTAAACCACTCACGACTCATATACTTCTGAGCACATATGAAACTTGAAATAGAATAGAATAGAATATTTAACTACACACTGTAGAAACTTACAAGAACCAATGTTTTCATTTTCAAATGCATGGAGTTATTTAAAAATACACACAAAGCATTAAAAATAGAATACAATAAAGAACAGAATGGAATTGAAAAAGAATATTTAACTACACATAAAAGTTAAAAGAAGGCAGCCATTTTCAAATGAGAACCAAACACAATAGAATATAAATATATTTCAGTTAGAACATATTACAGAGTAGATGAGACTGAGAGTAGAATGGAACACAACAGCTTGTGCAGACCAGACATTACATCAAATGTCAATTATAAACAGGATTTTATAACTTTTCAGTATTACACATACTACATGAATGAATGCTTTTCAATAACAGACTGAGAACTTTCTTCAAGTAGAGACTCCCTTATTGAGACCAAAAAGGAAGGAGAACATACCAGCAAGATTCTGTCTGGTTGCTGTGGGTGCACTGGGAAAATAATGGTACAGGTTTCTGAGATTAATGATTGTGTTTTTGATGTTTCCTGGAAACAACACCGGAACTTAAAGTACTTTTCTAAACAGATGAACTCCTTGTACAAGGAAGAATACAGTCCACCTATAAAGGCGCCATATATATATCACACTCAGTTCATCTTTATGATGCAAACCTCATTGGTTCCAGTCAGTTCATTTGTTTAAAATACACTGTAACTCCAATACAGGATAAGGCATTTAGGGAACATTTAGCTGAAGGTGTCACCTTATCATTCAACACTTCCAGATATTGCATACAGCCCTTTGTAACACAAACACAACCTTTGAGAGTTTTTTTTAGAGGCACTTAGTTTACCTTGTGTGAAGTAAAATGAGGATAACAGAAAACTCACACTGTCCAACACTTCCCTGACACCTGCTGTGATTCTCCTCACTGATCCATCAGGACCATGTGTTTACATCAACCATAATCTCCTTTAGCCACAAACAAGTAAAGTCATATTTGATTCTTAAACCAAACCCATTATGGTCACTTTACACTCGTAGTAGGCATTTTCAATTCCTAATGCAACACCCACATTCATCACATCACGACCCTTCGCAAAATTACCAAGATAAACAATAATTTCCACCAAAATACCACAAACAAAAACTACAACAAAGCAGTACATTTTCACAGAAACGTGGTGTTAGCCAGCCAATGTCATGGAAAAAAAAAGACAAGTTTTATACTAATTGGAGAAGATCTCATATTATGATTTACAGTAGGCTATAGTAGCAATAACTGTGGTATGGTATTTAGGAAGAAACTGTGGTTACCATGGTATTTTTTTTTATAAAGGGAGACGTTTTAACGGAATGAAGTGCGCGTTGATAAAACAGCAGATAAACTAAAACACAAGATGCTGACAGACTCTCACCCGCACGAGGTTGCTGACAGCCGCTTGCACTGCCGCCACTGGGCTGGTGAGATCTGGGATCGCTTTCCCATCAACTTCGCCCTCCTCGTGCATGATAACCAAGTGAGATATCTGCTGAGCCACCGGCTCCAGGATACTCTCTATCGTCTTGGTATGGAAAACTGGCATCCTGAAATCTAAATATCCTCAACACAACTGAGAATAAGGCACGTGTTCGCTCTGTCCTGCGCTTTCCCCCGTTATTTCTTCCAAGGGCACCACAAACCAAACGTCTATTCCCGAATCTATCCCACTCATGCAGCAAAATCCCTAAACGCCTCCTCAACGACCGACGCCTTCTGTGCATAACCAAAGCCAGGCGCCCGGTGAGTGCGAACGAACGCAAGGCTTAAAAGAGTCAGTGCTCGTCAACCAATCAGCGCAAAGGTTTCACGCCAATCGGAGCAGCTGATTGGTCGGCGCTGACGCTGTTTCCACTCTTCTCCGCCCCACCCTAACTGTGTTAAAGAGCTTCCCTGACTACGTTATGCAGTCAGTAGCCATAAAGGGAATGCGTCGGAATGGAATGACAAAGTGAGGATTCCGTGGATTGCATTTGATTTCAATGATAGGTAATGGTGTTAGTGAAACGGGAACAAAGTAACTGATACTCATTGACAGACCATGCAAGCATGTCTATTCTTAGGCTGCAGCTTTTAATTCTGATCATCTGCTGATGTCTTCTTCATGTGCTCATTTCTGCGTGACAGCATGAAATGTGTCGGTGGTGGACAATTAATCTTAGTTTTAGATCATGCTGTTGAGCAACACACAAGATTCATAAGTTCATGTGAATCATTCTGATAATCTGATTTTAGTCTCAAGAAACATTTAGGTAACACATTTTTTTCACAGTGTCTGTGACACGTTTAGGCCTACTTCTTGTCATTGAAGCAGTAAATTATGCATAATTACATGAAGCTAACCCTAAACCAAACCTTAACCCTATGCCTAACCCTATCTATAGCCTATGTTGTTAATTAGTGGCTACTCAGTATTCAAATGTATAATTACACTAATTTACACTTAAATGTATAATTACATTTGGTTACACATTGTAACCAAATGTTTCTATAATTTTCTTAATATTTTGTAATATAGGCTATAGGCCAATATATAGGTGGACAGTAAAAAGTACATTTACCTGAGGTAGGCCTATCTGTATTTTACTTAAGTATTATTTTTTCTGGAAACTTTTTGCTTTAACTGTCAAGGTCCTTGAGTAGAAAGTACTGACGTCAGTCAGGGGACGATTTTGGTTGCAGGGGTTGCATTTTGGTTGGAAAATAAAGTCGGGTTGACGTCAGAAGAACCCGACGTCAATCTGACGTCAACATCCAACGTCAGACAGACGTTGGATTTTGGTTGGAAATGAAAGTCGGTTTGACGTCAGAACCCAACGTCTGATTGAGAGTCAGAACCCGACGTCAGATTGACATTGGATTTTGGTTGAAAATGAAAGTCGGGTTGATTGACGTTGGATTTTTGGTTGGAAAACAAAAAGTCGATTCTCATTTTCAACCACAATACAACATCGGTCCAGCGTTGGAGATTGACATCAATTTGACGTTTGATTCTGACATCAACATGATTTTCATATTCAACGTTGGCCTTGGTCTTGTTTTGGAGCACACTAGCTTATAGACAACATATTCATACTAAAAGCCCAAACACTTTTCATAGAGACTTTAAATAGGGCACTATTTCACATATAATTGTCTTTATGACAGTTTTTAATCAATTTTAATGTGTCCTTGCTGAATAGAAGTAAAATATATATATATTTGGCTAACTCTTATAGGGCCTACACACAGACATACAGAAAACACTGACTTCAGCTTCTGTAAGTGACATGTGCATACTGTGTATATATGGAGCTAATAATATGACAAAATGATTTGAATTTGAATTGTGTAAATTTGAATTATTTGCAAGTGTAATCTAACAAAACTGAATTTTAAATAGTTCTGAATTTGAATTTTTTTGGAACGAATATTGAACATCTGAAATTTAACAAACTGAAAGGTTTTTATGGCTGAATTTTATAGACATGTATTTTCAAACAGCTAGTTTTTGTGTTCTGAATTCAAATACTGCAAAATTTCAGTTTAAAAAAATACGGATTCAAGTTTTCAAGATGAAGAAATTCGGAACGTCAAATTCAGTTTTCTAAAATTCAATGTCAAAAATTCAATGTCAAAAATTCAGGTCTTACAGAAAGTAGGTCACAGGGAAGAGTAGATGATCTCGGAAAAGTCGAACAGAGCATTTTGGCCAATTAGGGACTGCAGAAGTTTTCCAGTGCGAACGTGGTGGTTCAAGAGGTTGCCGCTCTCTGACTCTGATCATGATCGCCCGGAGGTAAGTTAAACAAGAATGATTTTGTGTTTGTTAGGTTAGCGTTCTCAGCACGTGATACATTTGTCTAAGCAGTCTCTGGTGTTTGTTTTAAAGTATATTTTGTGTAATATTTTGTGTAAAATTGATTAGAACGCCACCGTGTCTACTACACAGACAGGACGCGAGCGGCGCGAGCAAAACAAAAATGTATTAGTGCAACTTTCATTAAGTAAAATCACCAAAAGCCTTCAACCAAACTGAGATGACCCGGTTTTATACATAATGCCAACATAATGCAATTGTCCTTTCAATATTAAAGTCTTCTCTACTGACTGATGACTGACTCAGTAATAAAGACTGTCTTTGCCGCCCGGACTATTTTTTTTCCAGCGGAAGGTTGAAGGCTTTTGGTGATTTTACTTAATGAAAGTTGCACTAATACATTTTTGTTTTGCTTTATTATGATTATTGAGTGGCAATCGCTTTAGAAAAGCAATACACGGTACTCAAGGCTAGTGCTGTCTTGTGAATAAGTCACGTCTGAAGGGGTTGCACTTGCAAGCACTCTGGTTCGCGTCGTATTCACAATACAGCACCATAGCACACCCTCTCGTACCTTATGCTTACATGTACGACGCAATCTTGACGCTAACCTAGACGCTAACGCTAACCTAACAAACACAAAATCATTCATGTTTAACTTACCTCCGGGCGATCATGATCAGAGTCAGAGAGCGGCAACCTCTTGAACCACCACGTTCGCACTGGAAAACTTCTGCAGTCCCTAATTGGCCAAAATGCTCTGTTCGACTTTTCCGAGATCATCTTCTCTTCCCTGTGACCTACTTTCTGTAAGACCTGAATTTTTGACATTGAATTTTTGACATTGAATTTTAGAAAACTGAATTTGACGTTCCGAATTTCTTCATCTTGAAAACTTGAATCCGTATTTTTTTAAACTGAAATTTTGCAGTATTTGAATTCAGAACACAAAAACTAGCTGTTTGAAAATACATGTCTATAAAATTCAGCCATAAAAACCTTTCAGTTTGTTAAATTTCAGATGTTCAATATTCGTTCCAAAAAAATTCAAATTCAGAACTATTTAAAATTCAGTTTTGTTAGATTACACTTGCAAATAATTCAAATTTACACAATTCAAATTCAAATCATTTTGTCATATTATTAGCTCCATATGTATAGCACTAAATATATTTGGGTTCAATTAAAACGGTTATAATTAAAAAAAAACTACCTATGTCAAAACAATGTAGAAATTCTTAATTTGAGGGGAACTGCTGGACACTCAATATATTGCCCTCATTTGGTTTAGCCTAATACTTTAGATGATTAGTTTAGAGACAAGAATAAACATTTAGTTTAAGAGAGACTGACTCCCTATAAAGAGACATTCTGTTTGCAGGCAAAAGACAGGGCTTTATTTAGATATCTGTTTAGGACATGATCTGCGGGAAAGTAATGTATAAAGTCATCATGTATACATAATTCAAAAGTTAGATCTTTAGACGAGTAAGGCTATTTTGTGACTTTGTTTCAGATACCATTCAGCACTAATAAGGAAGAAAACACAAGGCAACTGTAAGGTTACCAAATAAGGAGAGATTTCAGATAGAGGAGCACAGAGAAGTGCTTTGCAACACTAATAAGGTAAATTGTTTATTATACAAGCAGCTGCCATTGAACCTTGTAAGTGCAGTCACTAGGATGCTTCTTTCACATCAAGACGTTGTCTGCAGCCTCTCAATGTTTCAGACTTGACATGAGAACTACTGCTTTGTGCTTTTAAACTCTTTTAGACATCAAAAGATGTTCACACTTCAAATAACTATAAAAAAAATTTATTCAATATTTTCAGTATCTGTCTCTCCACCATTTCAGTCATGAGTTTTATTTGTATAGAAAATATAAATGGAAACCACTGACTGATTATTATGTGATGGAACGGTGCAGAACCGGCCACATTACAGCCAAGGTGAATAATGCTGTGCTCAGCAATTTCATGTCATCCAGTCCTACTGCTGACTAGTCCATATTCCTGTAGCTGTGGATACCCTTTTTTTAAATGTGAGGCTGGAATATGCAATGGAGAGATCTGAGATGACAATAACTAGCCTACAGTTAGAGATTTCAAGCCATCCTTTATCGCTGCCCAGCACAAAGTGTAATAAATTTAGGCAAAACTTACTTCTGGGTGTCTAAGTAAAAGTACTGTATTTGATATCAAAGCAATCCAGATTGCACATACCATATAGACATACAGATAGGTTAGACTGAAGAGACGCACTTAAAATAAATTCAATAATTTTTATAATGTAGCAGCACCCTCTAATGTTCAAAGAGAGTCATTACAGCACCTCAAAACCATGCACCTGTCACACATGCTATTGTCATGAAACAGAAGGATTCACACAGGTAAAGTAATCAACAGGTTTATTTGCAGAAGTATGTGATGGAAGCAGGTGAGTAACTGATGAATATAGTGTTCAGGATGGATATCTGGATGAATAATGGTCTTTTGAAATGGAGATCGAGGCGGATGAAGGACGCAGATGACTGAAGGCAAATCATGCTGGTAAGGAGTCAGGTTAGGGTTCTTTAAGGTACCAGACAATGGTGAACTGCAGTGGGAAGAGTTATATAGTGCTGGATCATGATCAGTGAAGACTGGTGACAGGTGACAGCGATCTCTGTGATTGGGAAGTGCATGCAGGTGAGGGCCAGAGAGGATGATGGGAAGGAGGTGGTGACTAGCTGGTGACCATGACAGCTATTAAGATCCCATCTGTTGAAACCATGATCTTTCATATTGGTAAGTAGCCTATATTTAAGGCAATTGTTTAAAATCAAAACATAATCAAAATAAATGTGCACAACTATACTTGGCAGTATAGTTAAAACTCAGGGGTGTGAAAATACACATAATAATTTTGGTTTAATATATAATATAGTTGTACTGTATAGTTTATGTTTATTCGTAGCTAAACTTAACTTTCTGCTATAGTGAAGGACATGGAGGAGGTGTCATTACTGTAGGTTACTGTAAAGAGTGTGTTATTATATATACATATTTCATGCTTGTCATTTTTCTGTAAACCAAACTCTTTCCTTTTTAGGTAAAGATCTTTGCTAAAGGTCATAAGCATTTTGTATTCTTGGTAAGAGGAAGGATATTATGTTTTCAGAGGATACATATAGTCTTTGGTGATTCACTACTTCCACATTTTCTCTCACATTCTCGTGTTTTATTTTGGTTTTGAGGCCAACTCTTGCAATTAAGTAGATTTTACTGCTTAGTTTCTAACGGACACTTCTCCAAAACCCTGATATCATCTGTACACAACAACATGTGGTTGTTCTCTGGAAAGTTCTCAGCATCTAGTTATTTCCTGTTAATAATTTTAGCGCTTCAACATAAACTTTTTTCAGTTTTTTCCCATGGCAACATTTCTAATTTTCGTTTTTCAACCAATATAAATATTTTATTTTATTTCAGTTAGCAGAAATGTTTTGATAGTTTTAGTTAACGATAACGACCCAGTTGAAATGCATCTCATCACTTTTGTGACATGCCCCAATTTTACCATTTAATATTTCATTTTAATTAGTTTAATGGGATAGTTCACCCCAAAATGAAAATGTACTGTTTTTTTACTGAAATAATAGATATGAGTGAGAATTTACCAGTTGGCTGTGATTTAGAAAAATATTTATGATGATGCACAATGAATGAATTAAAACAAAAACGTGCAAAGATTTAAAGCTAGTTTATAGAATACAATGGAATATCAAATGAAATTAAGAAGAATTTTGTATTAAACAAAGTAAAGACTATTACGATAAGAGGTAGGCCTATATAAGTTAAAAAAAACATTTATCATACATGCATTCTTGCAATAAATAAAATATTAAATAATATGTTATAAAAAGTAACAGTAAAACAGAATGAATAAAACAGATAACAACATTTGCAGTTCTCACAAGTCACAAACTGGACATAAAATAAAATCCTAAATCTAGTATGTTTCCTTCAAACACCTAAAACTGGTATCACTGTCCAATAAAAGCAGGAACGTGCAATTATAACTGTAAAAGATGATTCCTATTGATTGCCAAAAGTAGCTGCCATGTATCATTCGAATAGCATAAATAATTGGCATGTGCATTCTGTGCTGACAAAACATTATCCTGAGTGGCTAAGCATTTACATTTGTGCTGTAAAGTGTCACAGTTAATCCTTCTGTGGGTACTTGGAGCCTGCTGTATATGTGGGTAAACCTGTATGCATTGAGATCCAATGGTTGTAGTTGGTGACTTTTGTATAAACACCCGGGTTAAGCTTTTCTGCACACTCTTTTCCCCAGCTAATGATACCGAAAAGGAACATGGTGTGATTTACTTCACACACTAGAGGCCCTCCTGAGTCACCCTGAAAGCAGAAAAAGTCAACACATTCATATGTGTATTTCTTACCGTTTTATGAAGATATATTGCAATTTAATTTGTCAGGGCTAAATTTCCTATTTATCCGTCATTGGTCAAATATTTTCTTGTTTACCTGGCAAGCGTCTTCCTCCCCGTCTCTACCAATTGCGCACAACATGTTCTCGTTGACCTCGTCCTTACTGTAATACTTCTGGCAAGCATTCTGGGAAATAAGCATCACTTGAGCCTGTTTCAGATGTCGAGAGAACTCAAAGCCATCTTTAAAAAAAAAAAAAACAGATAAAAAGTAATGACATGTTACATTTTATCTCACATATTTACATAGTTCTGGTCCTGACATTCTACATTGACGTCCAGAGTGACAAAATGACATCACTAAAATGTCTAGCTGCTAGATTTTTAGAGATCCCGTACAGTATGTCATATCACAATTATAGTTTGTGTTATAGTTCATATCATAGAACAAATTTGTGGACACACCATGTTGCCCTCATATCTTGTTGTCGCAGGAAAGAGATCATTGTTACTGTTTTAGGATACACTATCAGCATACAGTCTAATGTGACATCTTACCCTTTTGATGCCTTCCATAGCCAGCAATATCACAGTAGAATCCTGTGGGAAGCATCTGCTGGAAAGGGGGAAGACATGCGGTTCTCACAGAGTTTGTCCTCACTGCGCATTGTCCATTGCTGCCCACTATCTTCAACAGGGCTAAAGGAAGTGATTTACACTTTTAATTGGTGGAATAATACAATATAAGGCATTAAAGGCAAATAGTCAAATATAATGCAAACTTACCCATGTCATGATTAAAGTTTTCAGTTGTGTAGTCAAAGTCCTCATGGACCACAAGTTTGCTCACTGTGAACCGCTGCTCTTTGTCAGAGTTGGTTTCATTGATGGCATTCTTTCCCAGAATGACAGAGTATCTCTCTTTTTTAGTGTCCTTACTATTCAAAACAAAGAAACAATACAATTATATATATATATATATATATATATATATATATATATATAAATTACACCAATGCAATGGCACTACATTATGCATTAAGCAGTTTTATTGCACAGCACTCTGGAATACTTGATTCTGATCACAGCACTCAGTGGTTTGATATTTCCTAATATTTGCTGTTGCCAAACTTCTTGGTTCCGATTTTTCCTGAATCGGCACTAATTTGATGTCTCTTGTATTACATCACCAACTGGCAGCATCTTACTAGTGAAATTGAGCCCAGAGAACTCTATTATTAACACTACTGTAATACAGTTGCAGTGTTCGTCTATTGATAAGCCAATTGTTTTGTACGTTGTAGTGGACTATTTATTCTTAGCGGAAGCTTTAGGATAATATTTTAATATTTGAGATACTGTCAGCTGGTCATTAAGCTACTGCTAAAATAAACCGGATAGGCTGATACGAGACCCTGACTCTGGAACAGACTGTACATTAGCTTACATAACGCTCAAATAAGGTCAAACTCTTCAGTTAACAACAGGTTGACATACCCAGCAGGGAAGCAGTGGGCTGCAGTGAGGACCCAGCATGGAGCAATGAGGGTTCCTCCACAAATGAACCCAGCTCCTCTGAAGATAGCTGCCATCCAAGGCTGTGACTCAACACTTGACCTTGATCCTCCTATTATCTTTGTAATGCGGTTTAAGCGTCGCTCCCCACACGTTGATTCTGATTAATACATGAGAAACATCAGAAACATGAAGTCTGTGAGGAGAGATAATTTTCTAGGCAGTGCACAAGGAAAGAAACAGCATCCCATGCAGTTATGGGGTTTTCCTAACATCGCCATTGAATTATTTTGGATTTTTGCTTAGAAAAATTAAACTGATCAAATTGTTACCTGTGTCCTGCTTTGATGGGACAGGTGTTGGTGGACTCTTGGCTGCATGAGCAATAATAGGTCATATTAGTCAATCTGCTATCAATATTACCCATGACCTAAATAAGCAAAAGAGATGGACTTCTACTTACTCGGCTTCGTTTCCATGCGGGGGATGTCACAATATTCCCGTACGTAGCGGTTTCTTTTCCTTACAAAGCACCATGGCTGAATCCTGTTATTTGGATTTCTGAAAAAGCAAAACATTCAGAGGTCAGAGGTTTCATCAGCCTTTTTAATATAATAGTGTCAGCATAATAATCTTTGTTTTTACACTCCATAAATGGGGAACAGAAATATTAATGTAAATATAGAATACCTGCAGAAGTTATGGTAGCAGTTTCTGAAGGAGGTGTATCGTTTTGGGATGGAATTCCACTGCACACACATCCGTCCATTGACTGTCACTGACACTTTGCCTCTGTATGTACTCTCATCCCTTCCATCAAGTATGCACTCATCTGAGAATAGACAAGTTATGAATAAACCTATGTTCAAATGCTACAAATACAACTTTATGTTGCATCAATTAACATTTTCTTGGAAAACTTTAATCTAATCTGACAAAATCAAGAGTTTTACCTTCTCCTGGAGTAAAAAAGTTTTTCCTCCAAGGGTTTTTAATCTAAAAACAGAAATATAAATATTAGCTGCGTGGGAAAAAAAGGTTGATTCCATTTAAAGACCCAGTAGGAAGTAGGAAATTTCACTTCTGTTTTGTTTTTCCACTTACTGCATCAGTTAAGCTCAGGGCGCATGTCAACTGTAATATTCTGAGAATAAACATCATCTTGACCGCAAACCAATGTTTTCCTTTTTTTGGAGATCCTAAAAACATTTAGAAGAAGTGAGCTATATATTTATAAGAAACATCTCTAAAAGAAAAGACACATGCTCTTTAATCACATGCACATTTGTACAGTATTTCAAAAGTATATAAATAAACAAGTTTTGCCAAGAAAATATTGAAATCATATGACTTTGCAGCACTGACTCTGCAAGCAAACAGGCATAAAATGTTACTATAAGCCCACCATGAACAGGTATTCATTGTTCAATATATTACACAAATAAAAAGTGCTCCTGCAGTACTTTTGAATTCATTTTTGGCACATTTCAAATATGTTAAAATACTCTGATTTTGACTTTTCATGAATTGTATTTGTATCCTTAAGTGTAGTTAAAAAATGTTTTACTTCATATATAGTGCCCTTACATACATTACTAACATAAAGTTTTTTGTTGCCATCTATGGTTCTATGAAGAAATGTTAACATACGGAAGCTTTCCATTACGCTTAAGGTCATTTGGAAAAAGTTTAGTTAAATTATTAAATTGTCCTGCACACTATTAGGGGGAAAAAAAGGTTATTTTATGAACTATTCACTGAAAGGTTCTTTGGGGGAAACCTTTCTTTTTAAGAGTGTAAGATAAATTAAGTAAGATAAATATGAATTAATTCATATTCTCACATTTTAGAAGAATAGGTACTGTATAGAACCTTAAAGAATTCTATCAGGTGCTTCATTTATACCTTTTACTGGTTTCTATCATGGGATGATTTTATGGATTTAGTTTTAATTTATTAATTAATTAATTTTGATTGGATTTTTATTTTTATTAAATTTGATGAAATAAACAGCTTGTAAACCTTGAAAGTTAAACATGAAAGTGTTATGCAATAATTTAAGACATTTCTCCTTATATAGAACTTTTATAAAAGGGCATAAAGGGTTCTTTAAAATTGAGTCAAGAACCCTGGAGTTTGAAGTGTATAAATCAAGTCAATGAAAAAGAGTTGAACATGAAAAATTTGTGTAAAAAAAAAGCAAAGCAGAACCAGAAAAGTGTTTTTGGTGCTTACCTTTCTGATAGTAGAGACAGCAGATGTTGCTGTGTGGAGCAGAACCAGGCTTACTGAGCACTCGCTGTCATGTGCTTGTTAGTGTTCCTTGATTTATAGTGACGACGAGTCCATGATTGTCTGAGGGGGCCTGGCCTCAGGCAAACTGGCATGCGCTGTGTGGTAAACACTGAGATTGTGGGCAATGCTTTTTGCGGAAGCTCGTATGTGACTCAATTACTCAAAACCTCCTTCATTTTTTTACACGTTAAAGAGGAAATATTCCTAATAGGGACTTTGCCCCTGAAGCAATGACAATCATTGTGGTTTTTAAATTGCACTGGCTATTTCACAACATGTCATAAATTAATGTGAAAGCTAGTAAAAATGGGTATCTGCAAGGGTTAATATTACTCTGTAAGCTGTCATGGTATATAATATAAAAAAGAACTATTAATTAGCAGATTAAATAGCAGATTAATTAGATATCCAAACAGATGTTGTGTGTTGTGTCACATGCATCTGTGATTCATTATCATCATTCATCTGTTTGCCATGGTAAGTCAATTTTAACTCAGAATGGAACTATTTTTAAAATTGCTGTAATCTTGCATTTCGTCATTGTTTCCTAACATCCGGAGCCATTCACATATTTTTACTCTCTGCCCCATGCATGCCACTGTTTGCCTGATGTATCAAAAAGTTGAAATCTTGGGCTTTTCTGTGATATAATTTTTTTTGTAATTTCTTAGGCACCAAACATGATAATGATTTTTTTTAAATCACTCAAAAACATTTTTTTCCTCAGTCTCAGACGATTAATCATATGATTATGCAAAACTGTTGTAGCATCCTGTGAGATGTATATGCAATAAATGAGGGGGGTTTCATGAATGAGAGAGCCAGAGGAGATGATGTCACTCTTTTATCTCTTTAAGAAACGGGCAGACGTTTAAGAAATGTTCAGACACGTGTTTCCTGTTCAACACGCTACTGAACTTCCAGTGTTGCTGATATTTTGGCTTCTGTGATGATAAGATCTGATATTTCAGCTAAATATTTGCATCACCTTTTATGATGCTGTGCATCAAGTCTGAGTGACTTCTTTTGTAGAAACCTATGGTAGAAACCAACATAATGTTGCATTTTCAGAAAGTTTAATCCTATAGTTTTGAGCACCATCTCCTGGACATTGATGTTAATGTTCACTCATGCTTGTACATCGTGGGTGTGTGGTACAACCACATGTTGACTTTACAGATTAGTTTTAGATCTATTTAGTTATTTCTATCTGCTACAAAACAATCTGCATATATTTATCTTTGACATGATTGACCAAAAACGCAAGCAGTTTCGCAGATTTTTAAAAAGTAATCTGGCAGCCTGGGTGTAAAATGCAAAACACAATTAAATATATAAATTTGGAAGGAAGTACTGCTGAACAAATCCTACTAAAATGTAAATTCTGACCATTGGATAAAGATCATAGTATACTGAAATGTTATACATCCCTAAACAGAAAGCATGATCTACAGTAGAAGAACATCTCTTCTTCAATGTCAAAGATATAGAGCAATCACAGTCTTAAAAAAGGCAGTAAAAACATGGTTTTAAAAGAAAGTAGTAGTAGGGGAGAGCGGGGCTGGTTGGGTCAAGGGTTGGTTGGCACACAGTTCAATTCCAGTACACCAGAGGGCGCTGCCACAAAAATCTGACATTAAAATGACTGCCCTCTTGACCTGAACACACCTATTTACTAAAATCATTGAACTTTCACCAACTGTTGAGGTGAGGATAACTTTTCTATTTTACTGTGTTAAAACAAAAAAAAAAACCTTCTCCCCACTAAATACATTTTAGAACTATGATAGATAGAGATAATATAAAATGAAAGGATTTCAGTTGATATAGATAGGATCAGCTATATTTTGATATGAAATTTAAAAGTCTCTGATGAGTGATGCTATGTGGCTAACATAATTTCAGTAAAGAGGTGTGTCCTAATGTGGGTGGGGTTGGTTGACACACTGATTTGGGGGTTGGTTGGCACATGTGTCATTATAGCCAATTGGTTATAAATGTATTAATTTATGCATTTTACATATGTTAAAACATTATATATATATATATATATATATATATATATATATATATATATATATATATATATATATATATATATATATAAAGACTTTATATAATAATAATACTATTATATGTTGTATATTTATAAATACAGGTGCTGGTCATATAATTAGAATATCATCAAAAAGTTGATTTATTTCAGTAATTCCATTCAAAAAGTGAAACTTGGATATTATATTCATTCATTACACACAGACTGATATATTTCAAATGTTTATTTCATTTAATTGTGATGATTAAAACTGACAACTAATGAAAATCCCAAATTCAGTATCTCAGAAAATTAGAATATTATTTGAGACCAATACAAAAAAAAAGATTTTTAGAAATGTTGGCCAACTGAAAAGCATGAACATGAAAAGTATGAGCATGTACAGCACTCAATACTTAGTTGGGGCTCCTTTTGCCTGAATTACTGCATCAATATGGCGTGGCATGGAGTCGATCAGTCTGTGGCTCTGCTCAGGTGTTATGAGAGCCCAGGTTGCTCTGATAGTGGCCTTCAGCTCTTCTGCATTGTTGGGTCTGGTGTAGCCTACAGAACTAGACTGAGAGACCATTTAAAGGCCCTTTCAGGTGTTTTGAGTTAATTAGCTGATTAGAGTGTGGCTCCAGGTGTCTTCAATATTGAACCTTTTCACAATATTCTAATTTTCTGAGATACAGATTTTGGGGTTTTCATTAGTTGTCAGTTATAATCATCAAAATGAAAAGGAATGTACACTTGAAAAATATATCAGTCTGTGTGTAATGAATGAATATAATATCCAAATTTCACTTTTTGAATGGAATTACTGAAATAAATCAACTTTTTGATGATATTCTAATTATATGACTAGCACCTGTATACTATACAAACTGTATTTGTTTTTGGTTTGGTTAAAAATGGGCAGAAATTCTTTTGAATGTTATTCTGCATCTGGTTTGAATTAAATGGTCAAGTTCTTTTTATATTTGTCACCTCATTCTTTGTAACTATAGCATCTGTGCCAACCAACCCCATTGCATGTGCCAACTAACCCCCATACTGGGGCTGGTTGGCACAAGTGCACAACATCACTTTAATGATGAATAATTTTTTTTTAGGAATAATTTGTGAACATTAAATGTACCTGTTGAGTAGCTGAGATCTTAACCTTTCAGTTGTTACTGGTTAGACTATTTTAACATATAGCATGACTGAGAAATATGACAGAGAGTGAAAAGTGTGTCAACCAACCTATTTCCCCTATTTGTTAACTAATCCCAATTTTTTCCCAGACATGAAAATATCCAAATGACGTGTCATTAGTAACCCCTTTGAAATATACAGTGTATATATATATATATATATATATATATATTTTATGGAAAGATGTTTGAACAATTGTTTTATGGTCGGTCACGATTGTAACTGGTGGGATAATTTGTCTTAAACAAAATTAACATATTTCTGCAGTCATCAAAATTATGATATATACATTTAGATATATATACTAGTGCAATGCCCGTGCAAAATCTGTTTTTGTGTGTTTTTAGTAATTGTTGGTTTGGTATGTTTGAGTTGCTGAATAGCCTAGGCTACTATTACACAGGAGCCTAAACTCTGCGAAAACGATAATGTTAAGCGCACCAGAATAAAATATAATATTCAGAATTAAACAGTGTAGTTGACTTTCAGATTCAGTTAACATCCACAAATGAATAAGGGTGACGATTCAGGGAGCACACAGTGAACACTCAGTGTGCAGTATGGAGGGGGAGTGGCCACTCAGTGTGCAGTGTGAGAGGGGGAGTGGCCACTCAGTGTGCAGTGTGAGAGGGGGGGTGGCCACTCAGTGTGCAGTGTGAGAGGGGGAGTGGCCACTCAG